CAGTGTTACCCTGCTCTGTTCTGACTACTGCCTCTTGGTCCAAGTATAGGTTTCGTATTAGCACAATTAAATGTTCTGGGATTCCCATTCTTCTATCAGAATTCATCTGTAGAGATTCTAATTTGGCCTACTTGAGGTTTATGAGGGATTTATACCATAACTCAAGGTAGGAAGAAGCCAAAACAACACTTCTTTCTGCAAATAGACAAAATATCTTGGAAAACTAGCCAGGTCCTGGCATTTTGGATACTTCCTTGCCTGAATGGGGGGAGCCTTGGTGGCTTCTTGTAGGGAGTTGAGCTGCTAAAGCGAGTCAACACTTCTTGCAGTTCAAATCCACCAGTAGCTTAAGTGGGGGAAAGTTGGACAGCTTCCTCCCGTGCACTTTACAGCCTCAGAAACCCACCGAGGGGTCAGCTATGAATCAGTCCTGACTTGACAAGAGTGAGTGTGTTAATTGAGTTTTGCCCAATGTAGAGGGAATACATGAGTTTACCTGCCCCTCAGTGCTTGAGGGAGAGGAGGCTGACACCTGATTTCACATGAAAAGCTGATGCAAGTTTCTTAATCCTGGGCAAGTGTGTACATGTGGGCTTGATTCTGCATCTAGTGACTTGGAATGAACGCTGTCCTTCTTGGGAAGGTTGGAAGCTGACAGTTGGATTCCTTTCAGAATGGTCTTTTCCCACGGTGTGATTGATCCATCAGGAATGTCATGCTGGGTGCAAGGAAAGAACAGTGTTTGTTCTCCCTCTGTTAAGGCAGTCTCTGAAAGCTCATTTCTTGGGAACGCTTCCCCTCTCATAGATAAATGCATGCATCAGCAGAGCTTCTGTGAGGCTCACTGTGTTTCTTTCTGTCTTGCAGTATGCTACCACAGGCTGTTCCCTGACTCTGCACCACACAGAGAAACCGGAGCATGAAGACGTCTGTGAATACCGTCCCTACACCTGCCCTTGTCCTGGGGCATCCTGCAAGTGGCAGGGCTCCCTGGAGGCCGTGATGTCCCATCTCATGCACGCCCACAAGAGCATCACCACCCTTCAGGGAGAAGACATTGTCTTCCTAGCTACCGACATTAACCTCCCGGGGGCTGTCGACTGGGTGATGATGCAGTCATGCTTTGGGCACCACTTCATGCTGGTTCTGGAGAAGCAGGAGAAGTATGAAGGGCACCAGCAGTTCTTTGCCATTGTCCTGCTCATTGGCACCCGCAAGCAGGCCGAAAACTTCGCCTACAGACTGGAGTTGAACGGGAACCGGCGGAGACTGACCTGGGAGGCCACACCTCGGTCCATTCATGATGGTGTGGCCTCGGCCATCATGAACAGCGACTGCCTTGTTTTTGACACAGCCATAGCACATCTCTTTGCAGATAATGGGAACCTTGGAATAAATGTGACTATTTCTACATGTTGTCCATGATGCAGCATGTGGAATCCATAAACTATTGAAATTATTTGGGCGCAATGCTCTGTTTAATAAAGGTTTTTGTAGCTGTTTTATTCACTGTGTCTTCACAAGTCAGGATCTACAGTGCCCGTGTTTTATTGTAGGAGGAAGCTTTTCCTCTCTCATACTAACACTGAATCCATCTGACTCATAGCATCCCCAGCGGCTCAGTGGTGAAGTGCTCAGGTGCTTTGAACCCCCAGCTGTTCCAGGGAAGGAGGAGGAGACTATCCACTTCTGTAAAGAGCCTTGGAAACCCTGCGGAGCAACTCTGTTCACTGTGTCCTACACGTACACACACATCCTTTTCATTAGCATCCACCCAACATTTCATTAACTGGGATGAATGGGCCTGGGAGGCTCTTAATATGATTTGAAATAAACTTTATTATTAAATTGTATTTAACTTCCTGAGCAACACTTGGCAGGTTTCATGGGACTCCTACAGACTTTCTCCCTGCCTGTCTTTCTATATTGGTCCCTCCATGTTGACAAAAGCACAGTGTCCCATCACCGAATTCTTTTCCTTTTATCTTGTTTGGTGGGTAGTGATAGGAATGGTTGTGACACATTTAAGCAGTGTGTCTCAAATCAATGCATAGTACCACCTGGAGGGCACATCAAGGCAGACTGAGGACAGCAAAGGAGCTCTGAGAGCTGTAGAATAGCACATTGCACTGCCAGCTGGAAGACCACTCCCTGTGGGTGGCAGGAATCCACCAGTGACGCCTCAGGGGAACGACAGGCAATCTGTAAGATTTACAACCCCGGAAACCTGATAGATGGTTGCTATGAGTCAGAATTGGCAGTAAGTAAGTGAGAAGGTTTGAGAAATTACTGGGTTAAATAATGGGAAAGGGCCCAGATTTCTAAGGTGCTCTCAGGTTGCCCTGTACTGAAACTGTCTACTGGTTCGTTCACCTTTACCCCCACATTAAAACTAGAATTATGTATCCACAGGAATACACCCTGAGATTTGGTCACTCTTGTGTTTTGAGTGGATTGCCTAGGAAAGCTAGTCCTATGACCAATGATAGTTCTCATGTAATTAGATTTTGCCTACCGCTAGTGTAGATGGCCTGTTTACATGTGGCTTCCATCTCAGAAGCCCTCCTTGACTATGAGGAGTGAGAGTGCATCAGTAGACTTGAAAAGCTTTATAACAAGTGTCGTGCTTGCTGCTTAAAGATCTGGTTTTGGTTTTGATTTTTGCCACATTCACTTTAGTTTTTTAATAAATATTTTTCAAAAATTATAGTGACTTCATTTTCCTGTTTTATTAATGTAATACATGTTGAGCAATTATTGTGTGCATTGACATTCACTGCTTTTCACCACTGTTTTGGTACTGTTACTAGGAAAATGGTCTTTTGTCCAAGGTCATGGCTAAGGTCAGTGGCAACATAAGATCAAGCTCATTTCTTGAGCATTGGTGTTGCCATCACCTCCCTGGGACTGTTCTGTTTAACCATACCAGCACCATTTGGAATCTATATTTTATAGAGCCATGAGAAAAAAAAATTTGGGTAAGACTGACATCCAGAGTACTGGCTTTGACCCAGGAACACCTGCTTCCTCTCAATACTGAATTCTCATAATTCAGAATTTTGGCCCTGAACTTTCTGTAGGGAGTGAAGGTAACTGACTTAAGTAACTCCATTCCATGACAGCCACATGGAGGTTATGGCTTTAGGGTATTTATATCTTTCAGGTAAGATGCATTATTGAATTATTGGTGAATTTAGAGTTCTAGCTGTTAAGGAATTGCTTAAATAACTACTAGAATATTCTTCAAATGAAAAGCAGTCCTTTAAAAATGGATACTCCTGTTTGGCAAATGAATTAAAACCATAGCTTTCATCACTAAGTTTATAAGCCATGAAAATCCACATGTCAAGGAAACTTACACCAGGATTCATAGTGGTGAAATTAGGATGAAACATTGGCATGCTTAGGGGAAGAGCTAGCCCTGATATGGCTGCTTGGTGCAGGCATGGATTCAAGACGACTTGTTTGATGCATAAAGCATGGTCTAGCTCCACATTTGTCACTTCTCTATACTGAGAAATGTAGTGGAAGAAGGCACATTGTGCAAAAGAAATGTATAATCAAATGCAAGCATGAAGATGGAGATCACAGATCCAGTTATCCCAAATACACGAAGTATTACACATGTGTCACAAAAAGTAATGGATCGATGTGTACCATCAACTATGACTCATAGCAACTCTATCCTGAGCCATCTTCACGGTCTCGAACATACCTGACTCCATTGTCACCATGAATCCATTTCATCAAGTGTATTCCTCTGCTGCACCAACTCCCCACCCTTCCAAGCATGGTATCCTTCTCCAAAGACTATTTCCTCCTGACAACATTCCTCCTGAATCTTTGTCTACCAGGGAAGCAACCCAGTCTCTTTCCAGGAGAGACTTGTTTGTTCTTCTTGGCAGTCCATGGCATGTTCAATACTCTTCTCCAGCACAGCTCAAAGGTATCGATTATTCTCTCATGCTTAGTCGTTGTCCAGCTCTCAGATGCATAGCTAAAAACTAAGAAGACCTGATTCATGGCTTGAATCAAGTACACCTTAGTCTTTAGACTGATATCATTGCTCTTTAGTACTCTGGAGAGATACTTGAGAGCAGATTTTACCAGTGCAACTCATCTATTGATTTCCTGACTGCTGATACCAAGGGTGTCAATTTTGGATCTGAGAAGATAAAATTATTGACAACTTCAATCTTTTCTCTATCATCATGATAGCAGTCTATTGGCTGGGTGGTAGGGATTTTGTAAAGGATTAGAGATACACAATATGCTAACAGAAGCATTGACTATAATTCAGGCTTCCTGATTCCCCAATACAAATACATTTCTGGAATTTAGCAAGTGAAAAGTTCAAGGGTTTTGGAGGGAAAAAATGCTAACCATATTTTACAAAATTAAATCTTGTTAGTTGTTTGTGTACCAACTTTGACTCAGTGACCCTATGCACAAAACATCAAAACTTTGTCTGACACTACACCAGCTTTAGTTTATGTTTAAGTAAATTGTTTCAATAATTGTGTAAATCCATCTCTTTGAGAATCTTCCTCTCATTCTCTTTCATCTTTCCAAGCATGATATTCTTTCCAGGAACTAGTTCTTCCTGACAATTTCCTCAAAGTTGTTAGACAGTCTCACCATTTCTGCCTTTCAGGAGCCTCCTGGCTGCACTACTTCCAAGACCACTTGTTTATTTTATTGACCATCTCTGGTGTATTCAATACTCTTTGCTAACACTACAATTCAAAGGTATCAGGTTTTCCTAGGCCTTCCTTATGCATTGTTCAACTTTTCACATGTCTAGGAAGCAACTATAGAACAATATCATTGATTTCACATGCAAGCAAGATTCTACTGAAGATTATCCAAAAATGACTTGAACAGCACATCAGCAGCGAACTGCCAGAAGTCCAGGCTGGGTTTAGAAGGGGTCGTGGTACTAGGGATATTGTAGCTAATGTTAGATGGATCTTAGC